GTGAATGTCATTTATTCGTGTTTTGATGAAATATTTTGGATTCAATATTGATTGACATTACGTTTTAATTGATTTCTTATGATTTTTGCATCTTTATATTATTTTGAATGAGGTCAAAAAAATTAGTATAATATAAATAAAAAAATAAAAAATATAGAAATAGTTTAATTTCTCCCTACAAATTCTTTTTTAATAACCTACAAATATCATTTCCTCACTAAAAATTATTTACAGAAAAACAGGGTTTAGCCCACGAAATAATTTGTTTCATGTTGTCACAAATGTTTAATTGTAGGGAAAGATGTTTATATCTTGGCCCACAAATAAATTTTTCATACAAAATATTATTTGTGGGGACAAACACGATTTAGCCCACAAGATAATCTATAGGGACAAGCGAAATCGCTTCGTATGTAGAAGTAACTTTAGCAGACGAATTACTTTGTCGAAGGAAAACTTACGCGACGAATTGTATTTGTCTCCAAAGGGTTCGTAGGAAAAAACCTTAGCCCACAAATTTCAAAAATTTGTCGTCTTATACCTATCTCCTCAGTGTTTGCCTCACAAACGTGCCCACAAACTTTTTTTTGTCTACAAAGGTATTTCTCCACAAATAAAAGCCTTTCCCCACAAATAAATTTTGTAGGAAAAACATAAAATTCTTGTAGTGCATGCATCTCTCCCTTTCACTTAGAGTTGATATTCGCGGTTCAAAATTTACTGTCTAATTTGTTGTCCATCAATGAATGATTGACGCATCATTTTTAATTAAAGAGTCCAACTTTTCTCTCACTGTCAATTGTGCTTAAAATTAGGTGACAATTTAATGTAAAATGATGTGTCAGTTATTCATCGGTGGACAGAAAATTGAACGACAAAATTTGGATTGCAGGTCTCAAAGACCACAATTTTTACTTGTTGCATTACATTTTAATTTTAAATTCCGCCCAAAATTCCCAATCTTTTGTTTTTAATTGCACTCAAGGTAAACAAGTGCTACTACAAATTGAGCAAATCTTGATGGCTTTGAGTGCAATTAAAATGTAGTGTACAAAGTAAATACAGTATTGTGAATTTTACTATAAGCAATTTGTGTCATTTTTTTTTATAAAGATACGGATCTAACATGTAGATAAAAATACACAATTAAGAGAACATTAAAATAAAAATAAAAAACTTATTCCTTCTTTAAGAGCTTATACAATGCATCAATATAGGTTGTTACGCCTCTTCCAACGAGGTTGTAAGCATTGCCAAGTAGCAGTCGTGCAGTAAAAAGACCTAGGCTCGCACTCCACATTATTATGCGCATGTGGCAAATGGCCAACCCCCAACGACCAAACCCCAATGTGAAGCCGAGCCTTCGTGGATGAGGCGAGGAGGTGGAGGCATACATGGGGAAGATCTTCGTACAAAATCTTGTAGCAAGTGAATGATGTGATAACTCATTGAATATGCGGCTCTGCACAAATCGATAAGTCAAATCTAGTCTTATATGTCAGGTCTAGAGCTGCAAACAATCATAACATTAAATGTACTTGAGCTCAAATCTAATTGATTGATGCCTTATGGCAAGAGTTGATTGATGCCTATGACAAGAGTCCTTAGACGGTAGGATGAGGTCACGTGTCTCTTCATCTAATTGTCATTGCTCATCATCTTCTACTATAAAAACCTCACACTTAGCGCCATTGCAAGTTCAGACTATCAAACTATAACTTGACCACATCACTATTTTATTCGTTACTCCCAAAATCGACCCTCTTTTTGGGGGTCACATTTAAAGCCCTTTCATACTTATATATCTACTTCTCTTACTGACTTGATTGTCAGAGTGTACGCGGCCAACTTCATCCCCACCAAAGGAGGCCACGTGCAGCTAATGGTTTGTCTTAGTGTCCATGAATACGGCTTATGTGGACGTAAGAGGTCTTGTGATCTATTGACCACCTTAAAAGTATATTATTTGAGGTCAGCATAGGCTTCAAATTGGAACATAGGAGTGCCTTTACCCTAACGTCAATGGAGATTATAAATAATTTTTAGATTCTAGAATAAGAAAGACAATGAGAAAACACTTGGTCTATGCTCTGGCATTCAAATTGCCATATTAATTTATGCATAAAAGTCTTTTTTCCCACTCCTCTTTTTTGAAATCCACTGATCATCTCATCCCACCTCTCTCCTTCTCCAGCTATTATACTCTGTTCTCATGCATACATGTATTTTGTTATTTATATATATCATCACCCGCACGTAGAAACCGACAGTCCGAATCCAAATTCAACACAAATATCACCGAAAAATATTCCATCAAATATGGGGAGAGCTCCTTGCTGCGACAAAGCCAACGTCAAGAGAGGCCCCTGGTCGCCCGATGAAGACGCCAAGCTAAAGGCCTACATGGAGAAAAATGGCGCCGGCACCCGAGGAAACTGGATATCCTTACCTCAAAAAATAGGTAAAAATTAACAATTATTAACGTTGTGACCTTAAAGAAGTCGAATACATTTTTTTTACTGTTCCTCGAGCTGAATTCAGAACTTTTAATGCTGTAGGTCTTAAGAGGTGTGGGAAGAGTTGTAGGCTTAGATGGTTGAATTACCTCAGGCCGAATATCAAGCATGGAGGGTTTACAGAGGAAGAAGATAAGTTGATCTGTAATCTTTATAAAAGCATCGGAAGCCGGTAATAAATCTTACGTGTTTATGGTTTGTTAAGTCAAGTTGGAATATAAAGTATTTGACAGTATTAAAGAGCACAAACGAGCTTAAATTTTGTTCATTTTATTGCCCATGTGAATGATTTTAGAGTACTTTTACTAAGGTTTCAAGTCTTTCTAGTTTTCCCCGTAGACCAATTTTGCTTCTTAATTGTATCGAAAAGATGATAATTTTATGAAGTTGATTGTCAGATGGTCTATTATCGCGGGGAAATTACCTGGAAGAACAGATAATGACATAAAAAACTATTGGAATACAAGGTTGAAGAAAAAGCTACTAGGTAAGCAGCATAGAGAGCAAGATGCACGGCGCAATTACACTTGGCCACAAAAGCCATTTGCCGTGCAAGATTCAGCCAATCCAAGCCAAGCTCATCCTAATGAGCAAGAATTCCTTGCCAGTTTGATGGTCCAGACTAAAGGAGAAAGATTTTCTTATGATCAAGAAACAAATTATGGTTTATTTGCTACAAGTAAAAGCAGCATCAGCAATGAAATTTTTTACAACACAGATGTCTCATTTACTCGAGACAAATTGGGTGAAAATTCAGTTAATATGCTCACCTCTTCGAACTATTCGAGTTTCTTAACTAGCTCTTGTCCTCCAATGACAAGGTACTACTGTGGCGTTGATATTGCACCAGGAACCAATTTTCAAGAATTCGAAAAAATCCGGGTAGAGCTGGAAGAGATAGACTATAATTTTCCGCAACAATTAGATGGATTGGAGAATTTTTCTATGCCGGAAATGGTGAATAGCAGCAGTGCTTATCCTCCAAGGATTTCGAATTACGAAGCTTTCCAAGAAATTCCACATGATCTTTCGTTTGATAAGTCAAGTGACATAGCTTTACGACAGGAACACGGCTCCTCAAAGGTGTAAACTATCTTGTCAGTGGAAATTCAGTGCTGGTGTGCTCGGTTGAAACGTGGAAATTCTTTGTATTGTTTTATCAGTTTCATCTAGAGAGATGCTTACTTTCGGTAGTATAATTCAATGTCATGTGTCGAATTTCTTTCACATCTTTATTTTGCTTTGACCTGTTGGTTGATTCTGAAACTAGAAGGACTCTTTTTACAGATTTTGCAAATGGTCAAAATGTGTGTACTTTCAGTTAGTTTCCCAGAAACCTCCGTGAAAAAGTAAATATTAATTAATTTTAAAAGTTTTTTTGAAGTTTTCACCACAACTTTACGCGGTGAGGCAGCCATATTCGTGCAATGTCTCAACAGTTAATACTTTCATTAGTGATTTCCAGGTGGCATTGGTATAAACAAAGAAATTAAAATTTTAAGTTGGAGACTTAACGCCATCCACCTCAGAAATTCCATGCATCAGTTTTCTGGAAAAGAAATTCATCTTTCAAAAACCCGGTGGGTTACCAATTTTTTTCAAAATACGTCATTTTAGTTGGCTAACAATTTTAGCATAGATGATTATCAAATTTACGATATTGTTTTATTTTAATTACTTAAACACAACTTTGCCTCTATTTGACAATCAAATATTTATAAATAGTTTAATGAGCTGATGATAAGTAGATCATATTAATAAACTAAGAACGCTACTTTACATCCAATTACAATGGCGTAAACATTTTAATCTCTTTTATTTTAACTCTCAGTTTATTTACTCGTCTCATACATTAAATTAAAGTTGAAAATTTAAGGCAAAAAGGGAAAAATCTCGAGATTTCTTTGTAATTAGGTCCATAATAGGAAAGTGGCGGATCCAGGAAAAAATTCAACACGGGCTAATACGTAAAAAAAAAAAATATATATATATATATATATATATATATATATATATTGCACATAAAAAAAAATTTACTTAAATTTTTTTTTTTAATTGACATTTGGGCCGAAGAGACGGGCTGTATCCCCCTATGTAACAGGCATTATATAATATAGTTTATTCATATTAGGTAAATGTTCTATATTCATTACTCATTGCTATCCATTTATAAAACTCTGAACATATTAGGCCTTTAAAAAAAAAAAAAAAAAAGAATCAACAGAATGTTCACGAGGAGGGTGTCAACAACTAAATTTGAATAAATGATGTATCGTCTCTAGTTTTAGTAAAGGTAATTAAAATAATAGATTGTTGTTACTGAATCATGTTCAATCATATTCATTTAAGAATTAATCCGAGTAGAGGGATTAATTTCACAGGGGCTTCCAAGTCCCTTACTGTAGTAGGAGGGCCCCATATGTAATAAACAAAATTGCAATGGACCCCACTGTTTATGTATCCTGGCAGGGACCTGTGAACTTCAAGCACGATTGTCAATTTAATGAGACGTGCATTGCTTGCTCACTCTTTGAACAACTACGGTTAATTTAAATACATAGAGGAGGTCCTAGCTAGGATTAGGCCTCAAGAGAGAACAATTCAATCGTGTGGATTGTTTAGTCAAAAGTGAAGAATATTGTTGATCAGATGGAACCGTCTAAGGCTACTTGTCAAGTAGAGTTGATATTTTAGAAGTAATTTTTGACTTTTCAAAAGTTTTACCAAACGAATTCTTATTAACGATGATTCGCTTGATTCTTTAATTTTTTATGCGATGAGGATAGACCCTTTTTCTATTTAATTAATTCTGCTTTGGTGTATTTTAAATTTGTCGACAGTTTTATTGGTTTAGATTAATTAGTGTCATGGAGTATGTTTCGTTTCACAAGATTAGTATAAAATTTCAAAGTTTTTTCTTTAAAAGCAAGGACTACAGATCATTGTAATGAGGTTGCTAATTAAATAAAAAAAATTTAAAACCTAGAGTTTGTCTTATTCAAATTTGGTATTTTTAGAAATGAACGATTGTACTGATCAAATGAATTATCGGTATTCGCATTGAATCAACGAGATCTTGATTTTAATTAAATTCCAAGATTTTGTTAAATCAATGAGTGATAATTATCAAGTTTAAATCAATGAGCTATATTCGTGTGTTATCTTGTAGGAATTTTGTGAATAGTGACGCCAAAATAAGTATAATAATGGTTTGTAAATCCGTGCCGAAAATTGGACAGAGTAACGGCAAAGAAAACACAAACAAGAAGAAGAAGAAAGTAGGGACAAAGTCGAGGCAAGAGTTGGACTCTTTGTCCTTAAGTCGAATTTGCCCCGCAACGGTGCCTACGAATTTCGGCAATCGACTCCCAAGATAAAACGGCTACACTTGTGTTTGTAGCACTCCAAAACACAAGTACAACGAACCAAATTTAGGCTTATGTACTCCAAGGATGAAATGAAGGAAAATCAAAATAAATGAAATTATTTTGATTTTGGATAGAAGAGAGGATGAGAGATGTTTTGCATATCAAATTGTGAGGAATAGGACACCCAAAGGGTCCTATTTATAGACCATGAAAGGGTGTGGACGAGATGGTTGAGGCCAAACCATGCACCCTTTCCAAACAATGCACCTTTATGAAAATGTGTCTATTCACCGGACAACCGTGCGGCCGCACGATTTTACTCAAAAAATCGGAATTGAATTTGACATGTGATCGCGCGGTTTACCAACCATGCGGTCGCACGGTCAAATATTTTGACCTGATTTTCGTCCTTTTTCGTAATTTCTCATTCATCCGATATTGGTTTTCGAAATGCCAAATATACCTTTCAATACATGCAGAGAAATCAAAATTCTCTTTCGGGGGCGCTACCCCCTCGACCCCCGTGACCTGACCGGGCAGGTCGATCCCCGTTTGTGCGCCCCGAAGCGGCGCAAATAATTTTGCCTAAACGGATTGAGTCGAGCTTTTGAATATTTGGTCGAAGTCGATACGAAGTCACTTTAATCGATTTTCAATTCTTGATTTATTTAACCAATATCCAACATGTTATTCATAGGCTTAAGCAAAAACATCGAAAAATCGATCAAACAAATCAAATCGAACCAACTCAGTTTGATTTGATGCAGGCAATTGTTTTGGTTTGCTTTTCTTTTAAACAAAATCATGGTGGGTTGGTTCGGTCATGTGAAACCTCAAATTGCTGGTTAATCGAACCAAACCAATCAACTTACACGTTTACATTTTTTTTTAAGAAAAATAAAACTCAAAAGATAAACTCTAATCTCATAACTATAGCTTGATTCTCTCTAATCTATGATATTACCGGTAAGTAATAGCACTGAAAATTTCCTTTCACAAATTATACTTAGTATTTTTTTTCCCTATTCAAACAGTCATGCTTCATAATGCATGAAAAAACAACAAAACTCTTAAGTTTTCTGTTGATCTGTCTCTGATAATCTAATTTTATTTGTTAGTCAATAATTCTTATAATATAAAGTTATTCAATTATTTTAGTTCTTGTAATTTAGGTGAACCCATTTAAAAATAATAATAATAAAATCAATTTGGACTAAAAGTGCAAATCGACTAACCGAACCAAAGCAAACCGATTTAGTTTAAGAGTTAGAGTGAGTTCGTTTTGGTTGAAATTCACCTAAATCGACTAATTTGGTTTTGATTTCGGGTTGGAGTCAAAACCAACCCAAATCAAACCGTGTCCAGGCCTAATTATTCATCCTCTTTTGTATTTCTCACTACATGGAAACAAAATTATAGGATTTTTCTGCCTCTAAAGCCAATTAAAATTCTATGGATAAATTTACCTACAGAAATTCATAATTTCATTGAAAATCGCCGATGAATTGATTGTCTCAAGTCGTCAAAAATCACTAATGAAGCACCTATGTTGAGATTGATCGAAGGAGTTACATCAATATTACTATGACGATCAATAGTACCTACGAATTTTTCAACAAATTTACCTTTTCAATGAAATATCAATGTATCTTAAAATACCAACGCCATCAAGTCTGTCACTAAAGGCCCTTTAGAAGTTTGAATTATTGAATTTAAAAAATTTTAAAGAAAGGTTTTTCAATTAAAAGTAATTTCTCCTTCATGGCCTAAAATTACTTTTTTATTAAGGGTTTGATTATGAATTTTGATTATTTACTTGGACTTAATGCAACACCAAAAAATTAAAGAAAGATTTTTCTTTTAAGAAATTTCTCCATGGTCTAAAATTACCTTTTTAAGTGTTTGATTATGAATTTTGGTTATTTACTTGGTCTTAATGATGGCAAAGAGGTCGGTCAACGTCGGTGACTTGCTTTTAATTATGTGACTGAGTATCTAAGGCTCAAATTTTGGTAAATGTCCTATAGATTGTATTTAAGTGCTAACAAAATTTCCATTTTGCATAATAATTGAGATGTTGATGCATTTTGTGGAAGAATTTAGCAAATGAGAAGTATCCTACGTAACTAGACTCATGTGGAGCAGACTCAGCTCCTGTTTGGCCTCTATTAAATTAAATTTCTTTTTTTTTCATTTTTTCAACTACACAATCTTCCATAAAATAATATTACGCGTAAATCGAAATTTTTTTCTTATTTTTCAATGACATATTCTCTAAAAAAATACTATTCCACCCATTATAATTGAAAATAATGGGGCCAAACAGGGACTTATTTTCTTCTAATTTCTTTTATATAGTTTAACATAATTAAGTTTTGGCTAATTAATACCTAGTTAAACATAAATGGGGACTTGAACATTTTGAAATATTTAGTATTAACGATGGGAAAGCTTGAAGCTGTAATAAATTAGCTTTCAGGATTAGCTTTTTGAAAATAATTTTTAGTTTTAGTGTTTATTATGAGGAAAGATATTGACATCGTTAATTTAAATAAAATGAATTTGACTTTGCTAATCATTTGCGGTCTACAGAAAAATTAAGCTGTCAAAATTGATGGTTTGAGATGAAAATGAGCAATATAAACTTGGAATGGCAATTTCAACAAATTTTGTGGTGCTAATAACATTTCAACAGCAGTTGTTGGTTGAGTTTCTTAATATGTTCTTGGCTGATATAGCGGGCGAATTATCGTTACTCGTTATAAGGAAAAATCTTAATTTACACGGAAGAATGATAAGATAAATAAATAAAAATATATATTAAACTATTGACAAAATATTTTGTTGGCGAAGGCTACCGTGGATTTTGAGAGAGAAAAGTATTGAGATCTCATGTGAACAAAGTTGGACAAGAGA